CCCCCCCCCCCCCCTTCATTTGCCATCACTAGCGTTTTGTTTCAAGTTTTTTTTAACCTCTTAGCATTCCTGGAAAAAAATTACCACAGGCAGTACGCTAACTAGCAATTAATACCGTGTTGTAAGATAGTATGTATACACAATGATACAAATTTCCGTGGAGCCTTAGGGTAAATTGAGAATATATACTGCATTACATAAAGAGTGAGATATTTTATATATTCTTTCATTGGTGGAGTTTTTAAAGTCACACTAAATTTCTTCTTTATAAATAAGGAATTCAAATCCTCATTTATTCATGGTGGCTAAAAATGCAGTTACTGTGACTCTGATTTGACTGCTTTCAATCGATTGACTTTGTTTGACTGTAAAGCTGTTCTGTGTAGGTGACGGGTCAGATTGTGAGGTTCTGTCAATAGCAGAACAGGAAGAGGAAGCCCTTCACCTTCAAACTAAACACACAAGTAGCCACTTTTCTGCAAAAGCAGTTTGTCTCCCCGACAGATCAAACAATGTTTCTGAAGGAAATCAGACCCCAGCAGTCAGTTTCAGACTCATGAGTCCGGAGTCAGGACTAGTGTCAAAAGCATGACTCGTGTAAGAGTTTCGACTGTTTTTGCCATTTGCAACAAATGAATGATTACAAATCTTTCAAATTAAATAGTTTTTCATTCAATAAAGATACTAAGAATGGTCTTGATAACAGCCAGAAGAATGTGTATATGTAACTATATAGCGTACGATCAGAGAGCATATATGTGTGAACTAGGAGGGTCTAACTCCATTGGGGGAAATTCACACCTTCAGCAGACCGTGTTATAAGACCACTCTTTTCACAGAACCGTTGAAGAAAATGTTTTTGTTCTGTTTGTGCTGGCGGACTCTGATTGGTAAGTTATAACTGTATATCTAATTTTAAAGCTGCTGCTACTGTTCATATTAGTTAGAGGATTTGCTTTTGCTGTTATTCTCAGATAAATGAACCCTCTGGTTATGTTCCAGCCATCTTGACCTGGAAATGCTGTTACCACATTGGACTAAAAACAGATCACCACATTAAGTTAAGGGTTTTCAACACAGCATAAGGGTTAAACATAACTGCCTATTTTTGGGTGGAAGAAAAAATGCTCTGTTTTTGTGTGTGTACCTTTTAAATGCAAATGAGCTCGTGCTCTCCGCCTCCATTCTAGCAGAGGGCTGTCTAAAGCCCTTTCCACACTGAGTGCGAAAAAGCTAAACGAATTTCAGATGCGATGATGCGCTGGAATAAAACAACAGCTTCCTATGGATGCTTCCACATAGACCGCGAACATTCGCGCACCGAAAATGCGAATGTTTTTTTTTTCGTCCAGTCCAACGAATCTTTTCAGTTTCACAAAGTGAAAATACGGGCCGTCCAATAAGATTTGAGCTTACATCACGTGCCTGGAGCAGCTGCTGTTGCACAAAAAGGCAAGAGTGGTGGCGCTGTTTCGAAAACCAGTGTAAACAAACTAGTGATGGGAAGTTCGGTTCTTTTCCGCGAACCGGTTCTTTCGGACAGTTCGATTCAATAAACCGGTTCACCGGTTCTTTTACGCTCGACGCGATGACGTCATTGGCGATGACGTAATGGCGTCAAGTCTATCGCGGGCTTAACACATTCAAATATAAAGTCAGTAATCATAACATCGGTTAATTAAAACATCATTATAATCTGATACGTTTCTTACAATTTGGATGTTTGTATCTAAAGCATCAACACACATACAGGCAGTGATCTGCAAACTAGGATGTTTTACAGTTATGACGTCAATAAATTAGTCTTCATCAGCGCAGAAACTATGCTCCACTTACTATATATAATCCATTACGGTTTATTTGTAATTAATCAGTTGTCTGGTTCAGACACCTGTGGCGGGCGGTGCTGCTGTGCTGTGACAGTCAATACTGTTCGGTTCGGTAGTTCAGAGCACACATGCTGTCGCTGAATCACGCACGCGCAGTAGTGATGGGAAGTCCGGTTCTTTTCCGCGAACCGGTTCTTTCGGACAGTTGGTTTCAAATTCAAATATATAAAGTTAGTAATCATAACTTTTACAATTAAGTTTTGCAACTAAGCACCCAAATACAGTAACAGGCAGTGATGTGCATAGGAGGATTTAAGTCTTGAAGATATAAAGTAAATAAATTCGTTTTCATCAGCGCAGAAACCATAATCCACTTACTATATATAATCCATTGCGATTTATTTGTTATTAAATAAATGTACGTTTCGCCAGATTGCCCTTCATTCAATAACATTAGCACAGAATCAGTTGTCCAAAAGAACCAGTTCGGTTCAGACGTGCTGTGTCAGTCATAGCAATCTGTTCGGTAGCTTCACGCTGAATCGCGCATGCGCAGTATCATCAGCTCTTCGGTTCTCAAATCGGACGCGTCCGAAAGAAACGGTTCTCGGTTCAGTGTACAGGTGATCCGAAAACCGATGCAGCCGGTTCTTGACTCGAGAAGGAGAACCGCTCCAGCAGTGGGCGTGTATGTGTTACCCGGCTCGCTGCACACATGCTGCTCTGCTGGTGTTCATCTTCAGTTCTCTTCACAGCAGTTCAGTCAGTGTACGGGATATTGGTTTATTTAGACTCAGAGGGAGTGTCAGCCATGTTAAAAAAGTGAATAACTGGAGTAATTTGTGGATTAATGCTTACTGGAGACGCGAACCGTTTCAAATGATTCAGTCCGATTTGGTGAACTGGTTCACTAAGAAGAACCGGTTAAATCGAACGGTTCGTTCGCGAACCAGACATCACTAAAACAAACACGGAAGAAGAGTATCCCGGGAGAGAAGAGAGTGGATGCTGAGTTCCTGTTATCTTTGGTATCTGAGAACAGATTTATTCTCACATGTTCTTAATATAATTTATATTAATTATCCTCTGAATTATGTGATCTGGAGAGCACTGTCCTTTTTCTTCCCCGTGAACGAGTGTTATGAGTCAGAGCGCGTTAACTCTATCTTCCGTATTAAAAATATCGAGGGAAACATTTTTCTACACATGAAATATGAAAGAAAATAGACATGATTATGACGATATATTCTGTATGTGTTTTGTGTACAGCTCATGGTATTTTCATAACAATAAATGATGTTTATTACAATAAGCAGTGCGGCTTTATTACCCAGATAGCACACGTACGTCTGCAAGATGTCTGTTAAAGATCTCTTGATCTGGAAAGCATCTGCTGTGGACAAACATGTAACAGACGTCTTTCAGATGTCAGTTTTACACACATTCTAAATCATAAACATCTAATAGACGTCTATCTGACATCTAAAAGGAAACGTCCTATAGACGTATTGCAGATGAGCAAACTCTCTAAAAAATACGTCTCGCAGATGTAATGCAGACATCAAATAGACGTCTCTGAGATGTACGTGTGCTATCAGGGTAGACATACAAAGAGTGCATGCATGCCTATTATAGAATCAAAATCAACTATAGATCACAATCGGGAGTTATTACAAGCACTCGATGATGGTTTAAAGTGGGTTTTAAGCAAATACATTAATAATTACATTTTCAAATGTGGCTTGATGCTAATTGTACTTCTGTTTATATTTTAAGATGTTTTTTTGTAACCATTATAAATAGTTTGCGTTTCTGGCGTAGAACCAAACTTTACTTAGCTATATTCATTTAATGCTGTATATTGAGCAGTGGATGACGTTAAATTCATATACGAGATACATATCTGAGGAAAAATGCGTTGTTGGTCAGCACCACCTAGCCTGCAGGCGTGAATTAGCAGAAGGCGAACATTCATCGGCGATCCGCCTGGCGTTTTCGCTTCACACTCAGTGTGGAACGGCCTTAATGCTGCATTCCAGACAGCAGCCGCCGAGAAATCCGCTAATCACCCTGCAAGCCCAATTCAAAATGGCTGCCGGGATGGCTTGCAGACGTTTCGGCTCATACCTCACGGTGGATCTTCACCAAATTCGTGTGGTATGTTCCTATCACTGCGGATCAAGAGCTGAGATTCAGGGTGTATTCACAGCATGAAAGTCCGCTAGTTCACTTGCTTTGGTCCGGACCAAATACAATGCTGGTTTTGTTTTGTTTGGTGCGGTTCGCTTTCGCACTGCCCTTTTTGCAAGTGAACCAGAAACTGTCAACAAAACCACACGTGTGCTAAGGTCATCCAATCACATCACAATGTTAGTTTAAACATTTAACCTAGATAAATGTTCGCTATTAGGCGCATATCCAATCGTTTGTGCGGAGAGTGGAAGCTGAAGCGTGCTTCAGGACATCAGTGGAAACAAATTAAATACGCCGTAATTGTTGCTCATAAAGGTAAGAATAATACATCGTTCGGAACTGTAAAGGGTCTATTTTTATTTGTGTGCACTCACGATATCAAGAAAACATTGTGTTTTTATTAAAGAAAATGAATAGGATGCGCTTGCCGTCTCGTTCTTGAACAGGAGTGCTTCACAAAAGTGATCCGTAACTCAGTGATTTCCTTACAGACATGATGATTATCTATTGAAAGCTTTGAATTACTACAAAACAAAATAATTAATATCCAAAACAAAAATTATTTCATTACATAATCCATAAAGATGCATTTCTTTCTAAAGGCGCGTCCAATGAGGAGATGGCGAGTCAGGATTTTTAACTTCATCTTTGTGACACTGACTCAGAAAACACTAGTTTATTCATAAATAATCCAAATATTTCCTTACTATTTCCCCCAGACACATTCATTGCAACTTTTAACCAAACCGTACCAGAGTTTGTTTGGAAGCGGACCGAGACCACCTCTTCAGCTGGGTCTCGTGCGGTTGTTTGGTGCGCACCTGAGTGCGATTATTGTATTCACACCTGCCACCAAAGGGGGAAACGAACCTGAGTTCCTTTCAATCGAACCAAACAAGACAGGTACACCCTCAGATATGATAATAGGAGTTTGGTTTCTGACCAATCAGAGCAAAGGTGGGGTTTAGAGACTGAATCCTTGATCGAAGCATTTCAGACACTGAAAGAAAACAGTTGATACTGCAGTCGATATTATGTATGTATACTTTCAGTATATGAACTAATTGACCTATTACTTTACTGTTTATAAAAATGGAGTAAAAGCAATATAATCGTGTTATTGGTCTGATTCTCTCCTGCAGCCTCATGCCTCGTATTGACTGATGTTGCTTAATTGAGCAGCTTCATGAGGGAAAACTGAGACCCTAAATGGCAAACTAAGCAGAATGACAAAAACTCACCTGATGTTGTTTACGGCCGTATCATCACCAATTCCTTGGGAAGATTCAACTTTCAACTGAAACGCTGTTAAGAATCCATTAGGACACATTTGGATATAATCTATCCACTGACCAAAGCTGAAGAAAAAAAAGACAATTTATAGCTTTTTTTAAAGGTTTATAGTTCAGTAATCAGTATTTATTTTCAAGAAAATCTTCATTCTGACTGAGCCCATTACCTTCCTTCGTTAGACCGAATGATGCCTGATGCGTCATTAGATTGACTTTCACAGAAAAGATGAATCGCATTGAGTGCAGTGTTATCAAAATAATCATGTCTTTCTACCTAAAAAATAACAGCAACGACATTAAGACAATCCTCTATTTGATAACATCCATGACATCCAGATAATGGCTCAACATCTCAAGAAAATGATTTCCCTACTTTGTCTTGTTTTCCAGTATAAATATCAAAGCATTCGTAAAGCATTAACACATTAACTTGAGAAGCAAAATCACATATCTTGTTTTATGAAAAAAATCTGAATAAAATGAGATTTTGCATAAAACAAGAAGAAAACTGCAACTTATTTAAGGCTGTTTAATAATACTGCACAATAAAAGAAATAGCAAAATAAAAATAGAAATAGTAAATCTAACTTGTTTAGGCATGTTTAACTGGAAAGACAAAAGTACTGATTTTTATTGTTTAAAAATAACTGCAGTGAAACCTGGCATTTAAATATATATTTTAAATGCCAGGTGTTTGTGTTTACTGTGTATATTTGTATGTATATATAAATACACACACATAGTGCCTTGCGAAAGTATTCATACCCCTTAATTTTTTTTCATGATTTGTTATGTTGCTGCTTTGTTAAGCTGCTTTAAATTACTTTTTTTTCACATCAATCTACACTCCATACGCTATAATGGTAAAGCAAAAACTGGGTTTTAGCAACTTTGCAAATGTCTTTTTAAAAAAAAAAAAACTTATTAGTACTCATACCCATATCTGGGACAGTTGAAATTTAGCTCAGGAGCATTCATTTTGCTTGTAGATATTACTACACTTCAAGTGAAGTTAACCTGTGGCAAATTCAATTAAATGGGTATGATTTGGAAAGGCACACACGTCTTAATTAAAGGTCTAACAGCTGATAATGCATATCAGAGCAAAAACCAAGCCCTGAGGTCAAAA